TGTACATGTTTCGTCATACTCACCAAGCAATTTTTCATTTTCAGTTTCATTCCTACTTTTTCATGGATTTCATAATCAACTGCACCACATCTTAAGCTGCGCAAAATTCACATGATAATTAAAAAACAAATTGAACATTATTTACAAGAAAATCTTGTGCGAGTTGAAAATTGCAAGGAAAATATCCACAAGGATACCTGACCAGATCCGACAAAGTTACATACAAATACAAACTTTAATTGTGATATAAATAACACAAATCACAATCTGGAGTGTCCAGTCAAATTGATAAAATTGAATAGAATGCAAGTATTTTAGTTGTGTTTTACAGACTTAGATTGTTTCTGATCAATGTTTATTTATTTATAAGAGTATGTTGGCATATAGCAACCGTTGAAAGCATTGTTTAAATGTTATATTTGTAATTGAACAAATCAGAGTGGGTATTAATATTCAAATACATATATGTTTATGTAGTTAGTTACGTGAGTAGTTTAGTAACATTACTTCAAGGTGGCAGCACCTCACCTAAATTTAAAATGACGTAGAAAACTCAATAGTATAGCTATCTCTCTATGTACCATATCCAAACACGAGGTGGTGACCATGGTCTTCCATAGATCTCTTCTCCTTGAGGCACAAAGAATTTCCAATGTCGATACATTCATCCATGTAGATAGACTCTTGATATAAATCAGCCTTTGTCTTCCACGGTCTCTCCTTCCTTCAGACTTTTAATTTATTCTTTCCTCATAACGTGTCCGAGGAACTCTAATTATCTATTCTGATGTTAGTCAGCAGATTTCTCCTGCAACATGCTCTTGACAAAATATTTCATTTGAGGTGTGACTGTCAAACATACCTTCAAGATGTGCCTTAAGAGCCACAACTCAGTTGCTTCTATTCTCTTTTCCATACTTGGTAATATTTTCCAAAATTCTGATGCATACCTAAGAATCGGTATAACATAACAATCTAAAATTCTTAACTTCGTTTGCAAAGAAATTGTACTATTTGTCAGTACTTTTTCATTTTCAGAAATGTGTCTGTAGCCATTTCTATTTTCCGTTGGATTTCATTATCACATTTACCATCTGATGCTATCCAGCTTTCCAGGAAGTTGAATTTATTGACTTGTCTTATCTGTTCCTTATCTACTTTGACAATGCTTACAGGAATGATATTCTTCTTCTTTGCAGTTACCATGCATTCTGTTTTCCTATAGCTAATACTTAAAACCTTCTTCTCACTCTCACTAAAAATTTTATCTAAAATGTTTTGCAGCTTCTCTTCTGAATCAGCTATTAAAAATGTGTCCTCAGCATAATGAAAATTGTTCAAATTCTGTCTGACAATGATCAATCCTAGTAAATTGTCAATCTCCCTCAGAAATTTCTAACAATACAAGTTAAAGAGGTCAGATGAAAAGACATAGCCTTGCTTAACACTTCTCTTAATTTGGATGAAATCACTTAATTCATTTTGTACATTCACTGCTGCCGTTTGGTCCCAACAGAGGTTTTTTAAAGTTTTCAAGTCTTTACTATCAATGTCCAGTTCTTCCAGTATTTTCTCTAACTCCACATGCTTGACTCTATCAAACGCTTTGGTACAAACAATAAAAACTCGAAAAAATCCTTCTTCATTTCTATTGTCCTCTCCAAAAGTATTCGTACCATGAAGGTAGCACTTCTTGTACCACAATCTTCAACAAAACCACATGGAACTTTTGTAATTTTCGGTCTTATTTTACTTCTAGCTCTCATCATCCAAACCTACCCCCCCCCCTCCCCAGTGGCACAGTGGTATATCTGCGGCTATCAACGCTATAAACCTTGTACATAATTAAAAACAAACAAACAATCATCCCGAATGTCGTGGAATAAATCTTAAATATACCCTGTCCATCTTTTCAATACTTATTCTCGTTCAATAATTACATCATCACTCTTAGCTTTTATACATCCACTAGCAGTGCATTCTCTTTTACCTGTGATGTCTTTGAAATTCCTATAACATTGATGTAATATCTTTATCCTTTTATTTCATATTTCCATACATCTTTCATTAAGTCATTTTTTTTTCCTTTTCTTCATTGCACATTGATCGAATTATTTTGCCAAGTTTCATATGCCCTTATGTACTACTGCTTTTTATTTACTTTATATCTTCCATGAGCTCAAGGATTTCCTCCGTCATCTGTTTCTGTTTCTTTTGTGTTTAATTTAAAGGAACTAACCTCCTTGGCTGTTTCAAGCAGTGCTTCTTTAAAAATTTTCCATTTTGACATATTTCCTTCATCTTCAAGTTCTTGAAAGTGGCTTTTAACTGCAACCGTACACCTTTCTTTAATCAGGTGTTTTCCCATTAACATTGTATAATCGAGCTTCTTTGTCACTTTTGGCTTTTTAATATTTCCTCAATTTTATCTTGATTGTGCATACTACAGAGACTTGATCGCTCCTGCACTCAGCCCCTGGATACGTTTTCAATTATTGCGCTGCATTTCTGGATTTTCTATTGATGGTGATGTAGTCAGTCTGGTTTCTAACATTATCTCCAGGACTTTTCCCTGTGTACCTTCTTCTTGGGTGATGCTCAAACCATGTGTTTGTAATGACTTGACCATCTATAACACACCATTCAACCCATTTTTCTCTTCAAGTCCATGCCGCCCAACAATATTATCCACTCACTCACAACCAATTTCCCATTTAGATCTCCCATCACTATAACAATTTCTTGAGGTTTGCATTTCTTTTTCGCTGTTTCAAGGTCTTTGTAGAAATGATCACCATCCTTTTCCTCATTTTCAACTATCGGTGCATAGACTAGTATTATTACAATCTTGAAAGATTTAGCTTTTATTTTCAAAAGCATCACTCTATCATATATTGTCCAAACTCTATGTAAACACGTTGAGGTTTCATCGTCCAAAATCAACCCAACTCCTCTTTCATGTATCTGACCACCTGAATAAATGATCTTCATATCTTCTGAAATAATAGTACCACCATCTTTCCAACGTGTCTCACACAAAACTAGAATATTGATCTTTAATCTCTTCATTTGGTGAAGAGTCCTCAACTTCCATGTTACCCTTTGATTGCTCTCTTCTGAATTCAGACAGTAGCATGCTGACAGTCAGGAGTCACCTGTCGCAAATGTCTTTCCTTACCGGGCTAGGCGTTTTCCCCATTTCTATCAGGGACCCCATTCACGCGTTGTGGTTTTTCCTTGATTTGTGAATGACCATAGATTATGCTTGGCAAGATACTGCAGTAGGTTGTCATTTCTTGCTGCAGGTTGCAATGCTCAACTAACTTGGGCAGGTCTCCTCTGTCGTTGTCCCAGTTGCACCAGGCATCCGCCAGACAAGATAATCCACCGTCCTGCGCCCCCAACAGCCTCATCTGTAACCCTGGTAAAGGAGACTAATGAGTGATACGCCTTGTCTGAGGGCGACCCAGAGACTACATCAGTTAGATAGCACTTATCTCACTGTTACTCTGACAACTGACTGTCCTAATGCTGGATGCAGATTAACGTCATACCCAGGACAATAATAATATGTGCACAAGTGTAATTTTCATTTCTAATAACCGTAATGGGTGAGAAATTTTGAATATAGCTTACTTTAGTGCTAAAAACACCAGCATAACATTAGAGAAATTAGCAGACGAATACATAGTTTAAACCTCATAATATGTATTGTCCCGAAAAGTGTATAGAATGAAATGTAAATCTCGTGAATTTGTTTATTCATCTCACGCTCGGTCATCATTCATTTGTTTTCCACTAATCTACTAAGTATAAATCTACTTATCGGTGTGTTTTTGTATGTGTTGTTACTTTTCTAACAGATAGGTTTCTTCGTCGACCGTTTCAATTAATGCACGGTTTAAATATACATAAATATAAGTTTTTGTGTTCTTAAACAATGAGTTTTACCACAAACATGGTGCCAATAAATAAATGTTTTTGAGTAGTGAAGATAATTTATATATGACACATTCTACCACAACGTTTCGTTTTTAGCATATTTTATTGCATTTCTTGATATACATATAAGGACAACACGCCAGTTAAAATTTTATCTCTGTGACTGATGTATGAGATTCGCCTATTAAGTTATCATAAAAAACGGACTGATTTATTTTTATTCTGCTGTCTTACACATATTTTTCTCTAAGGCTACCTTGTACTTCATAAACTGAATTTTGTGTTTGTATTTAAGCGAGTCCCACAATGGTTTATCTGCACTGTACCTCTTTATTGTTGTTAAATAACATGTGAAGGTATTTAGTTAGTTAAGTTAGAGTTTAACAACAATAACTCTGGTGGTACATGAAAAACAAGCTTACCTCTTTATTGTTGTTACATAACAAGTGTAGATATTTAGCCAGAGGTTAGCGAATGATGAGTTTTAAATAACTTTAACCTTAAATTTAATTACCATAAAAATACGATAATGATTATTTCTGAGAAATACAGTAAAACGTTAAAGGATATTGTTGTTTTTTTCCTCGTTTAAAGCTACACAGTGAGCTATTTGCACTTTGTATATCGCGGGGAACCGAACGTCACAATATAGCGTTGTTGTATGTAAATAAACTTACCGCTAACCCACCGGGGTACATAAAACATAATGCGAAAATTCAAATTTAAACGCCTGTATGTCATAATATTGCAATGATTTATTATAAAAACAAAAATTATCCTACAAGTCTGAATAACATAAACAAGTTAAGAAGGAATAATTTACTGTATTTTTCGTATTTACAGGCGAAAATTACATTTGTAATTATGTTAATGTTTATAAAACTAAAAAACAAAAACGACGTGTTTTGGCGCAATGTAACACAATTTGCCTGAAAATAAATTATTATATTATTGTTATTAGGGAAAATTTATTATTTTCACAACTAATTATTCCTTGGTTCTATTAAGCAATTTAATTTTTTTTCTATTTGTAGATTGACTTGAAAAAAAAATGAAACCATTTCACTTTTAAGATAACACCTTTGTTTAGAGAAATATTACAAAAACTTTTTACGACTAATCTTGAATCAAGCAATGGCAGAACTCCTCCATTGTTAGTCATGTGCAGCTAAGCAGTTGTTTTTCCTGCCATCTGACGGTCGCCTATGAAAGCTCCAAACTGAGACGAGTGTTGTTTAACAGCGGCTTACAGCTAGGTTGGGTTTGAGTGTTTAACAAGTTTGCTGTTTACCGGCTAACATTCTGTCATCGACCAGCGTAGATATATAATCATGATCCAGTTTTCTTACAAAGAGTTGCAAGTTTGGTTTCAGCTCTTTGTCTAGTATAGTAGTTGCCTCAAGGTTGAGTAAGTTCAAGATTTCTAACGCTTAATTCTCTTTCAGCTTCCATTGTTTGTCCGCGTTAACGTTATTCGCGCGGTCTGCGCAGCATTTGACGCTGTATTTTCCACAATGAAAATGCGGTTATTTTTATTTTAGCGTCTCACAGTTTTGGAAGAGATTACTGAGAGATAATATATTCGTGAAACGGACGTATACTCCTGTGTTGAGTTGACGTCAGGTTTACTAATCTAACACTGAAAGATCCAAAAACAAACTAAATTCAAAGCTGTAGTCGTTGCTGAAAGTTGAATGTTATTGAAAGTTTATCGTTTTATCTTTATCTCCACGTGTTGTTTATAATTCATTAAGCAGTAGCGAACTGTTCCTACATTTTGTGATGTACTGAGACTGTGGACACACCCTACTAGGTTTGTGACGAAAACATTGTAACGCACGTACTGAGCGTCGGTACAGTCCTGATGGCGAGCAACCTAGAGAGTAATCTAGAGACTCATCGATCCTCTTCGATGGCACTCGACTCATCATCCGGACAAAACTCAGATGGTTTAAACTCCGAATGTGACTCTCCTCTTCCTTCCTCAGAACATCCTTGTTCATCCGAAAGCAGTGCAAGTAGCAGTATTGCTAGTTGCGGGTCCGAATGGCCGTCCTCGTCTCCACGTGTTAGCCCAAGCTCGATTCCAGGGCCCAGCTGCATTATCATTAGAAATCCTTTACACGAGGCCAGGAGTTCTTCTTCCGAGCCAAGCACACGACAAAATTCAGTTGATTCCATCTCATCGAGCGAAGGGGGCTACGGAACAGAACTCCAGGGCCTGGTATCTGCCTGTAGTTCCCCCTCCAGATCTCTACCCAGCAGTCCCCTTGGTCCCCGTTTTAAACTTTTACACGAGGGAGACTTTCATGTGTGTCGACTGAACCATACACGTACTGTCATCAGTAAAATTTTGAGTTCCAAATTTCTTAGACGATGGGAAAACCACCGCCTGATTTTATCAGACAACGAGATACGTTCCAAAACGGTAAGAATAGATAAATAGACAAACTATGGTTACTTTATATGATGTTCAAAAAGCATAGCAAAAAAATAACATTTACCTTGCAGATATAAAATTAATTATTTCAATTGAATAGTTTGTGATACACACACACACATTGAACTAAGCCAGATGCTAGTATAAAAACGTTCCTGAAATTCTTGTTTTTAGAAGGCATACTTTCAATTTTAAGATATTCAACATTTTCTCTCGAAACTGCATTTTTGATGAAGGTCTTAATCTTTCCAAAGGTATTTTAAATTTAAATAATTGAGCATAAGTATATTTTTACATAACATGTCTAACCACAAAGTTTAATGGGTAATCATAATGTTGATTATCTGCTACCCCAAATAAAATCTCGTTCGTTAAAACATTATTATATTAATGTCCTTGTTTCTTTTTCAAAAATATAATTAATTTTTACAGTACCAACGAAATGAAATTTTGATATTAACGCCTGTTTTGGAATAGCCATTTATTTTAAACTGTAGAAAAAAAAATGGTGTCTATCCAAAATAATAAAAATTACAGTTCTCAGTGAACTAGTGATACTTTTTGTTTAATACAGTATTGAAATTTTATCAATAAATTATTTTTATTACTGTTCAGAAAATTTGCGGTACTTTCGACAATAAGCAGAACTGAGAAGAAATACCTCTTAAAAACCTAGCTGATTTTTATAATTTATAACGAGTGATTCTTAATATAATATAACTTGTAAAGTGAGATTTTAATATGTTAAACAATGAAACTAAACGTAGTAGAGCAAGTTCATATTTTAGCGACTTGTTGCTTCACATGCTTTGTAACAGATTTTACTACACGATATTTAATTTGATATAAGTCGTAATGTTCATAATAAAGGATAATTGGATTTTATAAAGTTTTAAATGTGACAAAGCAAACCGCTGTTATGAAATAATGTCAGTCATCACCTCAGGTAATTTCTATTTACGTCAGGAATCTAATGATCAGTCATTATTGGCCTGCAAATTACCTAAATTATGGAACATTTCACAAATGTGCTTTACATCTTTACACTTCACGACATTTTATTTCAATATGGGATATGATTTCCAGAAACAGCAATGGAAACATAGCGTGCTTAAAATTAGAGAGCTGAGAAAGTCATAGTATACTCTCAACTATTCCACTGCAAGAGTTCTTTTCTCTGTGTCGTTAGTGTCTGAAACCAATTTATTGAGTACGATGTGTCTCCCAAGAGCAAACAATACATCCTTAATAGGATTGAAGTCCAGCAAAATCTGCAAGCTGTTTCCTTCAATCAGTTAATTAATCGTCAAGAATCATCGACCCTTTCAGCCTGGTTAGGTTGGGCATTATTACTTATTAGATTGAAGTCAGAGCCAGTTGCACCAGTATATGGCAGCGAAATGTAACCTTTTATAACTATAATGAGTTGATTAATGGTATCATTTCGCACGATATGGAGGTTGATTCTATCCATACTATACTTATACCACTTTCATATTCCTGTATGTACCTGTTATTTGATTGCAGATTGGTGGCATGCAAGCTAGCTGTTTTGTGCCTTGCTGTGAATGGAATACACCTCACTGGGCAACTGGAACACATGCCAGCCTTGTGAAGCCTATTCATAATCATACACGCATCCACTTGTAGCTGTAAACATTTGTGTCTCTAAGCAGGTATTTTGTGCTTGCAGCGATCAAGAATTAATCGATTTCAGACTTCATTTGTGTGTGTTTGTGTGTTATAGATGGTACTCTACCTTTTTCAGATGTCCAAGTAACTGCACAGTTGGTTTGGAAGCTGTTCCGCTTCTTGCTTACGACACTTTGAAATATTTGTAACCAATTCGCAACAACCTGCTGTAATTGTTTTATACATGAATAAAGCACCTAATGCCTTTTTTGAGGAGTAGCTGTGGTTTATGAATAATTTGGGAGTTTTACACGCCGTTATTAATCTCAAAGTGGCAAATGAAGCAAGGTTATGTGACCCCCCCCCCCATATATACAGTGTTCGAAAACATTATGGAAGCAGTGAGAGTTGTATAAAATTAAATATTATGATATTGTTCCCTCTATATTGCATGAAAACGGGCTGCACTAGAGTATAATCCCATGTTTATAGTTTACAATAAGGTTAGCTACCATCCAATCAACCAGACAGTGCCACACTACCATAATAGTTATAAAAGTACAGGGAGTTATACTATTCCCATCGATAGTGTAGTAAATGCACTCATTGCTCCCAAAACAGTAATCCCACTTCACAAACGTTTATAATTCAAGTTAGGTATAGGCTACTCCACGTGACGGATTGATGAAAAATGTTATGTTTAAATAACATCCTTATGGAAACTCTGAAGAGGGTATGTGAAATTAGTTCTTTGATACTAGAAGCGATCAAGATAGAAAGCCCAAACTCTTCAAAAGAGATGTTAAGTAACTTATGGTATGCTATTTATGTCATATATGACAATCCAGCAGAAAATTTACCAATGACCTTGTGTAAGTACAGATGTGAAAGTTACCTTAAGAACAGTATGTTACATATAAGCAAAAATGGCCTTAAAGGATGTGCAGTTACTCAAAAACCACTGATTATGACATAAAACCAAATCAAAATGGCTCAAATCAGCATTAGACTTCAAACAATGAGATGAACAAAACTGGAGAAAGGTATTCTTTATAAATGAATTCAAATTCATATTGTTTGACAACAATCAACGATAGTTCATTCGATGGCAGAGAGGAAAATATTATCGTGCCATCTATAGTGAAGCATGCTGGAAGACAAATACAAGTGTGAAATAAATCTCAGCGAATGGTGTTGAAAATCTATATAAAATTGATGCTACCTTAACTGCTGACATGGACAATGCAGAAATTATTCTTCCAGCAAGACAGGGATCCGAAGCATGCATAAAATTTGGTGTAACGATACCTGGCGGTAAACAGAAGTTGATGAAACATTTACAAACATGGCTTGTCTTGCACTGAGTCTCGATATTAATATTGTTGGGGCTGAGAAAGACAAAGAGCAACCAAACAATTTGACTTAATTGTGGAGAGTATTAAGGAAATTTGGAACAATAATTTACAACCATACATTGATAACTTTATGGTAGCATAAAACAAAATTTACTGATTTGTTTAAAACAAATATAAAACACTAGTGCATTGTAAAACTTATTAACTTCTCTCTTGTATTTTGTATTTTTTTTTAAAATTGCATATTAATGATAAATCATCTTTACTAGCAATTACTCATAGTTTGTGACTCCTATGTATGTATCAACTGTGCATTTTCATAAATATTTCCAATACTGTAGCTTAGGATTTCATATTACACGACTGGTGATAACATGCCTGATTTGTGTACAATGAAATGATGGGGTGATTGACATTATTTCGAAAGAATGAAAATACAATAATTGAAACAGACACTTATGATATAAATAAATTTTAAGTCTCAGAACACATTTAATATTCGAACCTTAAATAAATGAAACGTATCATATTGTTGTTTTATACAAGAACTGGGTGGACCACTATAACGAATCTTAAATAATTGAATGTATCATATTGTTGTTTTATACAAGAACTGGGTGGACCACTATAACGAATCTTAAATAAGTGAAACGTATCATATTGTTGTTTTATACAAGAACTGGGTGAACGATTATAACGAATCTTAAATAAGTGAACGTATCATATTGTTGTTTTATACAAGAACTGGGTGAACGATTATAACGAATCTTAAATAAGTGAAACGTATCATATTGTTGTTTTATACAAGAACTGGGTGAACGATTATAACGAATCTTAAATAAGTGAAACGTATCATATTGTTGTTTTATACAAGAACTGGGTGGACCATTATAACGAATCTTAAATAAGAATACCAATTCTGTTGTAATTTATGTGACTTTTTATAAAGTATTTTATGTCACACATACACTACTAACTGTCATGAACATCCTGAATATTTTCAGTGTTAGGCAGATTTACTCATCATGCAAATACAGCCTAAACTTGAAAAAAAAGGCTTATTGGATTATATGTGGTATTGTAGATTCAGTGTACTTTATTGAATGTTCGACGTGGCCTACGCTGTATACATATACACACACACATACATATATAATAATATAGGCTAAAAGTTCTCAAATTGAATAAGCCAAATAACTCGACATTATAGAACTGTACAGTTGAAATTATAACGAATGTTTAGGAAATTCTAGCCATCAGAAACAAACAACGTTGTATTTGTTTTTCAAGTTGTGCTTTTAGGGTTGATATTTTAGTTAATGGTATCGAATCGAACTTTGTACCATTTATAACGCAATTTGTAAATGTTTAGTACTACACAGGGAGCGTGTGACGATATGCTATATTTAAGTAGCCAGTAAAAGTTTATGTATTGTTTTAATGACGCAAGATTGGCCGCAATACTCCATATGTTTTAAAGCGTCACTTCCAAATATTTTATGCGCTTTTTCTAGTGTCGTTTGTGTAGTTTTTGTTGCAACATTACGGGTACTGTTCATTAGCCAATACTTCATTAGATTTCACAACAGAAAATGATATTTAAAAATAATTAGTGACCTGTTTTAGCACATGTGAAACGTCATAAGTTAAACACAATTGGGAAACTTGTAGCGTTAGTAAATAAAAAGGCGATTGTTTTGTCAATTTCCTTTTTCTCACCTGTTTGATCGATCGAAACATTAGTTAATTTGAAATTTTATAATGACAGCGCAAAGGCCCAAGAGTATTTGTTTCTAGTTCAGCTTTGAAGACCGGAAGTGATACAAGTTTATTGATGTTTATGTATGTAATAATGGCTTTTTTTAACTTCTATTTGTTGTGCAAAGTGTAATCCAACAGAATTTAAAAATGTACAGATTTAACTTTTCAGCGCTCAGCAACAAACAATGAAATATAAGAATGGAAAGCAGAACAAAAGACATCCCAAAGAAGAAGGGAAAA